AAAAAAAAAAAGGTAAAAAACTTGTTATTGCATACAATAACAAGTGCAGATACAAACACTCCTTGCCAGTCCCTCTCTGTCGTATTCGTGAGGTTGCGGTCGACTGGCGAGGTCTTTGCTAGCTGAGGACGACAGGGTGGTCCGCTGGCTGCAAGGATGGGTGGTTGTGAATCGCGAGGACAGACGAGGATCAATTTAAAAATGTCTAATAATGTCATTTGACTCTAGTAAATTTTAATTTACTATCAATTTAAAAATGGCGCCAAAAAAATGTTTTCGGATTCTTTATTCTATGTGGCAAACTTTTATGTATTGTCTAGCGGGATAGATTTATATTTAATTTCAATTCAAAAATAAATATGCATCTCTCCATACGCCATATATATCATCAGAACCCAAATCAGGAGCTGCTCAAACAAAGGAACCATGTAAGCATACTATTTTTGTTGGCAAATGTCATGTGATTGGTTAACTAGGTAATTCTTCTCCATGCACTTTTAGTCATTCATATCAAGCCTTTCTCGGGGAAATCAAAGATCAATTCAACAGCAGAGACTACAACCACAGACAACGGGCGACAGTCGACAGATGGCTGTCGCTCGAAGGAGGTCGCGTCAGGCTCGAGGTCAAAGAACTGTGGATGGTCCGATTGCGCCGGGCTCTCGGTCAACAGATGGCTGTGAAGGTGCGGCTGTGATGATGAGAAGCTACGAGCTGTGAAGGTGCGACGGTGCAGGTTTGAGAGCAATCAGTTTTGAGGAAGAGAGACGTGCGATTTGGGCTTATGATTGATTTATGGAAGTTTGGCACATCACTATTGGGCCATCTTTACATACATCGGTTTCATTAAACTGATGCACATCATCAGTTTGGGGGCTGCCTTAACATGGGTTTATTTGGGCCGATGCATACTAAATGCACTGGTCCACACATAGGTTGTGTTGAAAACTGATGTCTATGCACACCCATACATCGGTATTTTGAACCGATTCAGTAAATAACTTTTTTTTTTTTTTTTAAATTACTTTGATTATCATAAAACCGATGTAATTAATGTGGCCAAATTTCATTTTTGGTCCATTATATTGGTCATTTTCTAAAAATGGTCCACTAATTTGGCGGACATCAAACTTGATACAATAAGTTGTAAAATTCATCATTTTTGGTCCATTAATCACTCGGGAGCCTACGTGGCGGACATCAAACTTGTCCACGTATTCACCCGATAAAACGCCACATATGCTTATGGACCAAAAATGATGAATTTTACAACTTATTGTATCAGATTTGATGTCTGCCAAATTAATGGACTATTTCTAAAAATAGTCAATATAATGGACCAAAAATGAAATTTTGCCTAATTAATGTCTCCTACCAAATTGCTCACATCGTTTTTGTAAGAATTGGTGTGCCTAATGAAAATTTGTGTACAAAAATGTCACCGCCTTAGTTATTGACATCGGTTCGACAAAACCAATGTCAACACATGATGCGAAAAGCGTTTTTACAAACTGATACAAACACTTAATGTGAGAAGTGTTTTTTCTACTAGTATATATCCGATTCAAAAAGTGGCAGATAAGAGCATAATTTTTTCCCCAATCTTTTCTCTTTTTCTTATTTTTTTCTTTTAAAATTACAAAAAGTTACAAACTTAAATTATAACTATATTTTTCAAGTTAATATTTATTATAATTTTTATATATATAATATATCAAATTAATCATATGAACTTCAATTTGACATTTATATTGTACATACATGATAAATAAATTACTATAGTTACTTTTCTAATAAAAATTAAATTATCTATTACTATTATTTGAATTTTTTAAAAAATTAATTAACTAGAAAATGGTTCTATGATGTTAGCTAAAAGATATCATAAGGAAAGGGTCATTTTAAATATAAATAATAATATAATTTTTTTAAATTAAAATTCAAAATAATTTTTTCATTATTTTTTAATATTAAATATATATATATATTTTATAAGAACATGTTTAGTAGGTATTGTATTAGTTGTATATTATGAAATTATTTTGAGGCACATCTAGTAAGTCCAAATTATCTCCTTTACGTACATAAAGAAGCAAAGAACTCTTAACCACAACCTTGCCATCACTGTCTCTGATTCGTTTAGCAAATTCTAGCCGCAACAAAAACGTGTACTTACTGATATAGAGGACTTAACTGCGCCGAAAGGCACATTCGTGGTGCCGTGCAGCGGTGCCACAACGATACTGTACACCAAGTGACATTCGCCCCCAAGCTCGGGTCATTGTACAGAAAACTAAGTGACAGGTAAAAGGCCATGTCGAAATACACAAAAAATAGTGCAGACAACGTACGAATTAAAAGTCTTTCGAAATGATAGAAATTCTAATAATAGCTAGTGTATGTATATATACATAGGTTCTATAAATAGCTCCAAGTCATATCCCATTTTTCCAAACACAGCTTTAAGTCCTTAGTTATACATTTCACCATTCATATTGAAGTTATCTTTCCAAATTCAGGATATGATGCCAATGAATCCATCGCCAACTCCTACATCATCCAAGAATGTTTCTTTGGAGGATGTTCGTCGCTCTATAACATTTCACCCGTCCGTTTGGGGAGACCATTTTCTCTCATATAATTCAGATATAACGGTATAACTATATATCGCCCATTTCTCAATAATTAATTATTTTTTCATAGCGAACTAATTTAGGAACGTTTTTTTTATTTAATTTATTCGAGATGCAAATACAAGTTATCAAGCATGCACACGCGTACTGAATTATGTAATGTCTAGGAAATTTCTGAAGACGAAGATAAAGAACTTGAAAGACAAAAAGAGAGAGTCAAAGATTTGCTAGTCCACACGCCGGATGATTCATTGTGCAAGTTAGACCTTATCGATACAATCCAACGCCTTGGAGTGGGTTACCATTTTGAGAAAGAAATCGACACGTCACTGCGAAACATACATGGCGCTTGCATATTGGAGTACTATGACCACAAAGATGATGATCTACGTGTTGTTTCTCTTCGATTTCGATTGCTAAGACAACATGGTTACAATCTCTCATGTAGTAAGTACTCATGATTAGAATCTCTCTCTCTCTCTCTCTATGTTGATAAGAAGAAAAAATATTATAAGAATATATTGATAAATAAACAATCCAATTATGATTGCAGATGTGTTCGACAAATTCATGGACAATAAAGGCAATTTAATACACTCATTTGAAGACGATCTCGAAGGTATATTAAGTCTGTATGAAGCAGTGCATTTAGGAGTGCAAGGGGAGGACATTTTAGACAAAGCACTAGAATTTTCGTCCTCTCATCTTGAGTCTTTGCTCCATAAGATGCCGAAAACTCTTGCAACAAAAGTTAGTGAAGCACTTAAGCATCCACTAAGCAAGAGTCTCAATAGATTGGCAGCCAAACAGTTCATTTCTATGTATAAGGAAGATGATTCACACAATCCACTACTGCTTAATTTTGCCAAATTGGATTTCAACATCTTACAAAAGGTGCACCAAAAGGAGTTGAGTAGTATTACAAGGTTTGTGCAGCAATGTGTATTATATTATTACATATCAATGGACTCGAGTATTGTTTCCGCAATTTGTTTGTTCACGAATATGACGGACAAAAGCACTGCAGGTGGTGGAAGGATTTGGACTTTGCAAATAGACTGCCTTTCGCGAGAGATAGATTGGTTGAATGCTACTTCTGGACTTTGGCAATCTATTTTGAGCCCCGATTTCACCTCGCGAGAAAATTTCTAGTCAAAGTATTGTGCATAACTTCCGTTATTGATGACATTTATGATATTCACGGGACGTTGGATGATCTACAACTTTTCACGGACGCCATTCAGAGGTCACACATGATGCCTATGTGCTGCTCATCATATAAATTTGCAATTATTTTTGTAGTTAGTACTTCAATACTCTTTTTGTTCTGCTTATCTTAGTTATTATTATTATTATTATTATTATTATTATTATTATTATTTTTTATTTTCCTCCAGTTGGAACTTTGATGCCTTGGAGCAATTGCCGCCGTATATGAGAACATGTTACAAAGCTCTTTTGGATGTTTATGCTGAAATGGAAGACGAAATTGGGAATACCGGCACGACATACTCTGTCCAATATGCAATAAACGAGGTATATATTCAACGAACAAGACATGTCACTCTTTCTCTACGACTTATTTTAATTTATATATATTTATCTGGATATCCATTTCTTGTAGGTGAAAAGATTGGCAAGAGTATACATGGTGGAAGCAAATTGGTTTTACGAAAAGCATACGCCGACAATGGAGGACTACATGAAAGTAGCACTCGTGTCTTGTGGTTATGCAATGTTGTCAATAACATCATTTGTCGGTATGGGCGATTTAGTGGCGAAAGAAATGTACGATTGGATTTCACACGAACCACAAATCGTGCGAGCATCATCGATAATATGTAGGCTTATGGATGACATGGTAGGGTATGGCGTAAGAATCACACAAACTCATATCTATATATTTTTTTAACTCTTATCTTAATAAAATTAGAACAACATGTACAATATTTATTTAAAATAGTTTCTTTTCTTTTTTTTTTTTTTTTGGGAAGAATGAATTGAAGATAACAGCTGTGGAATGTTACATGAAACAAAACGATGCATCCGAGGCGGAAGCTTTTGCAGGCTTTCGGGAAAAGGTGAAGAAGGCCTGGAAGGATATGAATGAAGAATGCCTTCAACCAACAAAAGCACCTTTGCGAGTCCTAATGAATGTCGTCAATCTTGCTCGTGTGGTTAATCTTCTATACGTGGATGAAGATGGATATACCAATTCTAAAACCGAGACCAAATACTTTATAAACTACGTGCTCATCGAGCCCGTGATAGTTTGAACGTGTATTCAACGAGTATGAGAAACTGAAAATTGAATTCCCATAGATTATTAATCAGTTGCTAATTGAATCTCTGTGGATGGGAATACTCCAAACTACTCTAGCCATGCATTGAGGATGGCCATAGAGATGCTTTGTGTGTGTGTGATTAGGGTTGTAAACGAATCGAATCAAAGCGAATACCCAGAGATTCGATTCGATTCGTTAAAAATATTCGAAGATTCGATTCGTGATTCGATTCGATAACGAATTCAATTTTTGATTCGTATTCGATTCGTTTAGAATATTCGAACATATTCGATTCGATTCGAAATTCGTTTTCAAAAAAATATTATAATTAAAAAATATTATAATTAAAGAAATAAATTTTATTTTTCATATATTTTTAGAAAATTTTGTCAATTTATAATTTTTTACTTTTTATGTCATAAAAATATTAGGAATATAACAATATATATATATATATACATATATTATAAACAAAATGTATATTATATATAATTTGTATAAAAATATTATAATTACAAAAATAAATTTTATTTTTCATATATTTTTAGAAAAATTTGTTAATTTATGATGTTTTTACTTTTTATGTCATAAAAGGAATATAACAATATATATATATATATATATATATATATATATATACATATATTATAAACAAAATGTATATTATGTATAATTTGTAACATTTATATAATTATTGTTAACGAATCGAATATTCGAATTCGAATCGAATATCTACACATTCGAATTCGAATTCGTTATAATTTCGAATCTAAAACATCATTCGAATTCGAATTCGAATTCGAATATTTCGAATTCGAATCACGAATATCGAATTCGAATCACGAATCGAATAAAAAATGTTTGATTTGTTTACAACCCTATGTGTGATGACGTGAATGTATGAGAAACACTTATTTTTTTTAAAGGCCACGGTGTTATTTCTTTTTTAAGGGCCATACCGGCCCGTGACCCGTCGGGTCGGTCAACCGGCGGTTCAGGGCCACTTTTATGAATCGGCCCATAGTTTATTTCAGGCCGGTCACAGGCCATGATATTGAGGCACACTGACCAGGATATTTTATCGACTTGTAAATTCCTTATGCGCAATCCTTGGCTCTTGATGCTCGCCTCTACACCTTGCTGAAAGTTAAGGGTGTGGCCGTCAACTCCATCATCATATCCTCGAGCGACGGACTAGGATCTCTCTCAACCAATGGCTCGCAGTACTTTTGTCGAAATTTCAACGTGTTTAACGTAAATGCCTCTATCATCTCCTCGAGCGACAGGCTGAGATCTCGCGCAATTGGTGGCTCTAGCCCTAGGCAACGACACGGTCTGTTACCCGAATTTTTCCTTATTTTTAATCTAACCGCGAGACGCTCTACAATTAGACTTGACTTCTTGTACAATCCAGAAAAATATTTTCAAGATTTAATACCTTCTCTTGAGACGATCAAGCAAAATGTGAGGCGCAAATGGGAGTTTAATGAGACGATGACCGTGATTGAGCACGGGCTGCTACATATTCTTGAGGAATTAGCGTCATGGAGGAAAGATCCGGTGAAGCATCCAACGCCGGAAGGAGGGGATTTCGTCAAGCATGGCGTGATGAGATTTGTGGCTCCCTTGAGGCCACCTCCGAAGCCGCCATGGATCCTTTGATGAAAAGAAAGCAATAAGTCGGGCCGACGACGATAAAAAGAGGCGCTTGTTGGGAGGCAACCCAATTGTGTGCATGGTTCGACGACTTCCTTTGCATTTACTAAGGTGAACACTTCCTCTCTTCTCACCTTGGGCTGCGTCTCATGCCTCACAATTAATTCCCAAGTGCCAAGCATCTCCTCTTGAAGCTCACGGCCTATTTCTTTTTCTTTTCATGCCAACATTATTTCTTTGGGCTTTTCTTAATGTCAAATGCTAAACCCACTTTTTACATTCCTTGCCCACATTAAATTTTTGGGCTTGAGCCTATATAGTGGAATAGTTATAGAGCCCTCCATAATTGCTTGTGTAAATTTTCGTACAATGTTTCTATCCGCAAAATAGTCAATATCCTGAAAATAAATTTTAAATATATCATAGTATTTGAATCCATATAATAAATAAATAAGTCAAAAAATATAAATGTTTCAATAATTAAGTGTATAAAAATACACTCTTAAATATATAAAACATACACATTTTTTGACCTATCAGCCCGCCTGGTCAGTGTGCCTCAATATCATAGCCTGTGACCGGCCTGAAATAAACTATGGATTAAAAGCTGAGAGGGGTGATTGGATTTGATTTTTAGTTAAAATATGTGAGTAGAGGTGTGATTGAATTTGATTGTTGGTTAAAATATGTAATGTGGTGAATTTTGTTAAAATTGTGTGATAATGATTGATTGTCATTATTTATTTATATTGATAATATTTAGAAAATTTATATTGAGTTAAATTTGAGTGGTCCAATTCGAATTTGAAACCAAAATATATTTTGATATATTAATTCTTTTATTTATTTTATTTTCGGTCAAGATTTATGTCATTGAAGCTGAAACTCATTGTTTATCTTAGCTTACTTCTTTTCCCTGCAATTTCACTAACTCAATTAAAGAATAAAAAATAGTAAGCATCATATATGTTCCATAGATATGTTAAATCAAATGAGCCGCTCGTGAGCACGGCTCATTTGATAAAAGAACTTATTTAAAGCTCGTTTAGTTAAAGAGCCTAGGTAGACTCGGGCTTGATAAGGATCGTTGAGGTTCGAAAAAATATTTGTATTTTTTTTTTATAGTTTTGGCTCGATTTTGACTCGTAAATGCTCAATCTCTGCTCGTTAGTAGTGATAAATAAGTCGACCTGGAGCTCAAATATAAGTTCGCTGAGGGCTCGAGCACCATGAGCTCGAGCTCGAATCGACTGTTTATGTGTTCCATCACATAAACACTATTCATCCACTCAAATAATTATATATACTGATTTCATTACAATAAAATGATGATATTCCAACGGAAATATATTCAATAGAATTATTTCAACGACATTCCAATGGATATTTCAATGCTATTATTTCCGTTGGAATGTTTCAATTGATCCAACGGAATTGCAACCAAAATATTGTTGGAATAAGTTTCCATTAGAATTTCTGTTGGATTTTTTTTATTATCAAATTGGTGGCCACAATCATAAGTTTGGAAAAAAAGAGTTTTGCATGATCAGTAGGTTAATATTCGGCAATTCCGGCTTTGTCCTGGATACAAATGACAGCCTTCCAAAATAATATTTACCTACAAAATAACTATCAACTTAATTAAAACGATTCAACGGTAGATTTTCAAACGGAAATTACATATTCAAACGGAAATTCCTACAATAAAAAGCCGTTGGAAATATAATTATTGGAATCACCAAATTCCAATGAAAACGCATTCCAACAGAATATTTCCGTTGGAATCATTCTAAGAAAAACTATACCATTAGAATATCCGTTGGAATTTTCATTGGAATATATCACTATAGAATTTCCGTTGGAATATAATAATTTTTTTTATAGTATTTTATCAAGTAATATTTTATTATTTTTATATCAAATCATTAATTTATTTTTATTTTTTTTTTATTTTTTATTTTTTATCTTAAATTCGTTCATATATAGTTTCAAATATATTTTTGCTCGATATATTTTTTTAAGAAAAATCTCATATCCAATCACGAACAAATAAAATCTATCATTATTGGGATAGAAACACACAGTTTGAGCTGTCTCGATATTTACACGTGAATGTTAACATAAAAAATGAAGTTTATGGGAAATAAATGGGCCTCAGTCATCACATCTTGATCTTGATATCATCCTCCGACCAACAGTTCTCGTGGATGCAAATTGACAAAGGTACTAAAGGCCATTTTAATCGACCATTATAGCATTTACTTTCAATGCCATTTTATTTTTATATTTAACTTTTTTTTTTCATTTCAATCTTGGTTTATTTTAATTTTGTTACTTGTTCAAATTATACTAGTACGAATTCGTGCGGTGCACGAATAAGATATATTCATTAATATTCATAAATTTAACATTCTCAATAAATAATATTTATAAATTAAAAGCATGGTGTCAATATTTAATATAATGTACCAATATTAATTAATTGAAAATACTATCTAAAATATAAATTGTGCAAAATTACATAAAATGTGTATCTAAATGTTGTACACAACCCGCGTGTTGCAAATAACTGATAAATTACGTTATATTCGTTTTAGAATATGTGTCATCTCAAAATTTTTATTTAGAATTCAATTTGACTATAACGCGATTCCATAAAATAATTATTCTGATAAAATTTTATCATAAATTTAAAAACTTATGTGTATAAGTAAGTATAAATATACTTATATTGTTTCAATAATTAAAAATGAATTTATTTTTATACAAAACATCCGAATCGAAATACTTATAGATGAGTAAACAATCAATCATAAGATTTAATATGCGAAAAAATCAACACTCCTTATCATGCTAAAAAAAAAAAAACAACAGTGCATTTCACACAAAAATTATTTCAATGTCGTAACATAAAATGAATTAAATCGAGATTCATTAATTATACAAAAAAAAAAAAAACAAAAAAAAAATTGACCAAACCTTTCTATATAAAAAACATCTGTACACGCACTATATATCAAGATATCAATTCATAATACTTTATCAGAGTGCTTAAGTTTCCATCAACAAATTTCCTACCAAAAAACAGTCATCAAATAACTTAAACAAATTTGCTCACTTTATACCATATATTGATTAATTTATTTCCTATGGAACAACCATCAATACCAAAAATAAATTAAGCCACTTTATACCATATATTAATTAATTCAAATGATTTAAGTAATTAAGATATCTTAAAATATGGCTTAATTACTTCCTTAAATAATGAGCCGCAATTTTTATAAGTGATCACTTGATATATACCATAAATTGTTAAATTAATTTCCTAAAATAGTAAATATATTTTTTGTAGGGAAATAGTTACTATTTAAATAATAATCAAACCTTATATATATACCACACACACACATATATATATATATATATATATATATATATAGATATAGATAGATATAGAAATGATCCCCTACCCACGGTGGGCACATGTTAATATGCCCACCGCGTATGTATCATTCATTCATTGGTGATGTTAATATGTTTAAAAAAATACATCACCAATGAGTGTATGCCACCTACGCAGTGGGCATATTAACATGTGCCCACCGTGGGTAGGTGATCATTTCTCTAGATAGATATATCAGATTAGAAAACAATTCTTCTACATTTTTTATTTCCTCAAGAATACTTAATCAATTATTTTCTCAAAAAAATAAAAAAAAAACTTGCATATAATAACAATTGTGTCACATACTTAATTGATACTTTTTTTTGGAATAGTAATCTTATTTAGTAAAGTAATTTGGTGGCTTGTTGGTAACTTAACCAATTGAAGGGAAACATAATCTTTTGACAATCATCATGATATGTTGCCAAATTATCTAAAGATTTAATTTATTTTATTTATGGAAAAGATTACATGGATGATAGGATGCATTTTTTGTATTACCTTTATTAAAAAAAATATAATCCTAAACTAGTACAAATAAAAATTCATTTTCCAAAAATATATTTCTTAAAATAGTAAATAATAATTTTGGGATGGAAAAATAGTTACTATTTTAAAAATAATCAAATCGCATATAAAGGAGCAGAAATTCTATGGTGCCCATTAAGGTACCATAAGGGCATCCACATCCCTTAACGTTCATTCAATCACAATTTACACTCACTCTCATCCACATCATCTCCACATTATTTTTTCACTAAACATCTCTCCATTTAAACACACACCCACATCCATATCTATTCATTTAAATACATAAATGGGATCCACTATCCACTCATATATAAAACAAATTGATTAAATAATTATAAATGAAACAAAAAATAAATAAAAAAATAAAAAAGGCACTAAAAGTGCCATTCATTACTTTGAACGGACAAAGGGCCCCACCTTTAAATGAATGGCTTGCATCCTTGTTGAATGGCCTTGGTGCGCTTAAACGCCAAAAGAATGACCCTTGGATAATTTATGTGTTTATTGCCGCATATAAATTGTTTATGTATATTTTTATTTTCAATGTCGTATTTTTATAGAATAAATATAAAAAGTATAGTGAACATGTAAGATAATCATCAAAAGAAAACAAACAAGTTAACATACAACAAAATATCACATATCGATCTAATACATGATCTCAACATGAGCAAAATAATGGCCCCTCTTTTATATATTGTACAGATGTAGCACCACACATATTTATCACACTAAAACAGTAATCAAATAAAAACTAATATATCATTTTCTTCAGCTGTTTTGATTGCCAAAGACTTTAATAAATACCTCCAAAAGTCCGTTTAGCAAATTCTAACGGCAAGAAAAACGTGTACTTACTGATATAGAGGACTTAACTGCGCCGAAAGGCACATTCGTGGTGCCGTGCAGCGGTGCCACAACGATACTGTACACCAAGTGACATTCGCCCCCAAGCTCGGGTCATTGTACAGAAAACTAAGTGACAGGTAAAAGGCCATGTCGAAATACACAAAAAATAGTGCAGACAACGTACGAATTAAAAGTCTTTCGAAATGATAGAAATTCTAATAATAGCTAGTGTATGTATATATACATAGGTTCTATAAATAGCTCCAAGTCATATCCCATTTTTCCAAACACAGCTTTAAGTCCTTAGTTATACATTTCACCATTCATATTGAAGTTATCTTTCCAAATTCAGGATATGATGCCAATGAATCCATCGCCAACTCCTACATCATCCAAGAATGTTTCTTTGGAGGATGTTCGTCGCTCTATAACATTTCACCCGTCCGTTTGGGGAGACCATTTTCTCTCATATAATTCAGATATAATGGTACAACTATATATCGCTCATTTCTCAATAGTTAATTATTTTTTCATAGCGAATTAATTTAGGAATGTTGTTTTTTCTTTTCAATTTATTCGAGATGCAAATACAAGTTATCAAGCATGCACGTGCGTACTGAATTATGTAATGTCTAGGAAATTTCTGAAGACGAAGATAAAGAACTTGAAAGACAAAAAGAGAGAGTGAAAGATTTGCTAGTCCACACGCCAGATGATTCATTGTGCAAGTTAGACCTTATCGATACAATCCAACGCCTTGGAGTGGGTTACCATTTTGAGAAAGAAATCGACACGTCACTGCGAAACATACATGGAGCTTGCATATTGGAGTACTACGACCACAAAGATGATGATCTACGTGTTGTTTCTCTTCGATTTCGATTGCTAAGACAACATGGTTACAATCTCTCATGTAGTAAGTACTCATGATTAAAATCTCTCTCTCTCTCTGATCTCTCTATGTTGATTAGAAGAAAAAATATTATAAGAATATATTGATAAATAAACAATCCAATTATGATCATTGCAGATGTGTTCGACAAATTCATGGACAATAAAGGCAATTTAATACACTCATTTGAAGACGATCTCGAAGGTATATTAAGTCTGTATGAAGCAGTGCATTTAGGTGTGCAAGGGGAGGACATTTTAGACAAAGCACTAGAATTTTCGTCCTCTCATCTTGAGTCTTTGCTCCATAAGATGCCGAAAACTCTTGCAACAAAAGTTAGTGAAGCACTTAAGCATCCACTAAGCAAGAGTTTCAATAGATTGGCAGCCAAACAGTTCATTTCTATGTACAAGGAAGATGATTCACACAATCCACTACTGCTTAATTTTGCCAAATTGGATTTCAACATCTTACAAAAGGTGCACCAAAAGGAGTTGAGTAGCATTACAAGGTTGGTGCAGCAATGTGTATTATATGACTCGAGTATTGTTTTGCAATTTGTTTGTTCGCATATATGACGGACAAAAGCACTGCAGGTGGTGGAAGGATTTGGACTTTGCAAATAGATTGCCTTTTGCAAGAGACAGATTGGTGGAATTGTACTTCTGGATATTGGCAATCCACTTTGAGCCCCAATTTCACATCCCTAGAAAATTCATGGTCAAAGTACTCAGTATAATTTCCGTTATTGATGACATTTATGATATTCATGGGACGTTTGACGATCTTCGACTTTTCGATGACGCCATTCAAAGGTGGTTGCATTTGTTATATATACTTAGTTTACTATAGCTAGGTACTTGTATATTTTTCGTACGTGTTTTGTTTTTTTCATTCATTTCATATTTATTGCTTCCACCAGATGGGATTTCGATGCCTCAGAGCTATTGCCACCGTACATGAGAACATGTTACAAAGCTCTTTTGGACATTTATGCTGAAATCGAAGCGGAAATTGGGGATTCTGGCACGACATATTTTGTTCAGTATTCAGTGGATGAGGCATGTTATATATATATATATGTGTATATATTTAACGAAAAAATACAAGAAAATTTTGTTTCTCTATCAGGAAATTAGTGAGGCCTGTGTTTATTTGTAGGTGAAAAGATTGGTGAGTGCATACATGGAAGAAGCGAAATGGTTATACGGTAAGCATACGCCAACAGTGGAAGAGTATATGAAAGTGGCACTTGTATCCTCTGGTTATACAATGTTGTCTGTAACATCTTTTGTTGGCATGGGAGATTTAGTTACGAAACAAATGTGTGATTGGGTCGTAAGCGAATCACGAATCGTGCGAGCATCATCGATAATATGTAGGCTAATGGATGACATGGTAGGGTATGGGGTAAGAAAAACACAAACTCATGATATCTATAAATGTTTTAACTCTTATCTAACTTATAAAATTAGTGTAGCTAAAATAGCTTCTTATTTTTATGCAGAAAGAATCAAAGATTACAGCTGTGGAATGTTACATGAAACAAAACGATGCATCGGAGGCGGAAGCTTTTGCAGATTTTCGGGAACAAGTGAAGAAAGCATGGAAGGATATGAATGAAGAATGGCTTCAAACAACAACAGCACCTTTGCGAGTAATGATGAATGTCGTCAATCTTGCTCGTGTGATTAATCTTCTATACGTGGATGAAGATGGATATACCAATTCTAAAACCGAGACCAAATACTTTATAAACTACGTACTTGTCGAGCCCGTGATAGTTTGAATGTGTATTCAATGAGTATGAGATTGTTGGTATCAAAAATAATTTATAATAAAAATTGAGAAGAAATTATAATTAGTAACAATAACAATGAAGAAAAGAATTTTTATTAATGTGAAGAAATAGATAAGAAGTTTGAAATGCTTTGTTATTCAAAATATGTTACTTCCTTTTCTTCTTCTTGCACTTCCATTCACTCACGCATGGTACATATATATAGCATGTATGGATATTTCTAGTCCTCAATAATTGATCATTTTCAACTAATTACAACTAATGCCCAACTAATGACAACTATGCCAACAAATGACAACATAATTATTTCTAGAATGTGCATTAATAATTTAACACTCTCCCTTAATACACATTTGGATAATTCCAAGTTTTTCACGTAGTGTCTCGAATCTTGGTCGAGGTAAAGCCTTCGTGTCTCTAGTTGATCTTATGTAGCGATGTACTCGAGCTCTATTTGCTTGTCCATATATGTAGTGACTTTGTACGGCTTGTCTTTTTCTTATAGTGATTTCACTTGTATTTATTGGCTCAACAATTGCTCGATTGCACATTTTGTAGAACTCTGACTTTTGTTTTGGTGGTTTTGAGACGTGTCTTCTGATGACTGTGGGAGCTTGTTTTTCCTGATGGTTTGATTCTGGAACTCCAGTATTTTTATTCTTGTCGTCTTCTCCTTGACTGTTCACACTTGATTTGGTAATTAGTGTTGGGTATTGAAATTCTATTGCAAAACACTGATTCTCCCCCATTCTGTTTTTGCAGTTACTTTATTGTTCTTGTCATAAATGGTGCATGATTCTCTCCTGAAATGCAAGTTGTATCCTTTCTTTAACATTTCTCCAACACTTAATAGATTTTTATCAATTGCTGGAACTAAGAGGACATCTTGGATGTATTTTGTTCCTTTTCTTGTGTCAATGGCGATAGTTCCTTTGCTTGTTGCTTCCACGTAGTTGCCGTTTCCAATCTTGACTTTTGAATAAAATCTTTCAATATTGCAAAAGATACTTTCATCGAATGTCATGTGGTTGCTGCAGCCGCTGTCCAAGTACCAAATGCTTCTTTTGTCTTTTGTAGTACTGTTGGAAGCATAGAACAATATTTCTTCTGGTTCAGTCTCTTCTGAAAAATTTGCTCGTTGACTTTGTCTTCTGCCCCAACAGTTTTCCTCGACGTGGCCATATTTTTAACAATTTTTGCATTGGTTTTTCTCTTGAAATCAACATTCTTCTTCTTTGTGATTATTTTTATTGCAAATTCCACATGGTGTATCATACCCTATTTTGTGTTTGTTATTTTCTTTAATTCTTCTCCCCCCCAATTTTAGAATTTTGAAATCGTAAATTTAATCTTGACTGAAATGCATTTTCGACTGAATCATTTTCACGCATACTCAGTCTTTTCTCATAGGCTTCAAGTGAACCTATTAATTCTGTCACTGACACATGATCCAAATCTTTAGCTTCTTCTGTCGTCGTGACGATATGATCATATTTGGCTGGTAGAGTAATTAGAATTTTTTCTACCACCCTTTTGTCAGTAATATTTTCTCCATATGCTTTTAATTGATTTACTACTTCTCTTAATCGAGTGTAGTAATGTTTTAGGGTCTCATATTCTTTCATCTTCATATTTTCCAAATCTCTTCTTAGAGTTTGTAAATTCAGATGACGTACCTTGTCACTACCGTGGTATTCTTCCTTGAGAGTATCCCACGCCTCCTTTGATGTCTGTGCTCCGCTAGTTCTTGGAAACAGGGACTCCGACATGGCCATTTGTAGTGTGAAAAGAGCCAAACTGTCTTTTTCCTTCTCCCGGTCGAATTTTTCTTTGTCCGTCGTAGACAAAGTGGAAATGTCATCGGGTATAGTATAACCGTTCTCGACAATATTCCATAGGCCTTGAGACATAAAATATGTTCTCCTTTTGATGGCCCAATAGTTGTAATTTTTGCCGGAAAAAATAGAAATTGCTATTTGATGAGTGTTTTGGGAAGTGGCCATAATAAATATTTAGAAGGATATGTGAAAATGGGGTATTTGGACAAGATATGTAGAAAGGGGAGGATATTGCAAAATAATGTCGCCCAACTATTGATCCAACCGGGCTCTGATACCACTGTTGGTATCAAAAATAATTTATAATGAAAATTGAGAAGATATTATAATTAGTAACAATAACAATGAAGAAAAGAATTTTTATTAATGTGAAGAAATAGATAAGAAGCTTGAAATGCTTTGTTATTCAAAATATGTTACTTTCTTTTCTTCTTCTTGCACTTCCATTCACTCACGCATGGTACATATATATAGCATGTATGGATATTTCTAGTCCTCAATAATTGATCATTTCTAACTAATTACAACTAATGCTCAACTAATGACAACTATGCCAATTAATGACAACATAATTATTTCTAGAATGTGCATTAATAATCTACTATTATAAAATAAAGTTAAGAAAAAATAAATTTTTGGTAAGTCTTTTTCCCTCCAAAACATTTCGAAAATGTATGTGATTTTTTCATTTTTTTTTGTTTTTCCCGCCTAAATGAATTATTCGATTTTGTAATAGATTTTGAAAGTTGGATTGAGATTATTCTTCCTTTTTTTGCCTATTCTTACTCGCTTTGTTTAGGCTTATATTTGTTACCTTTTTTTTACATCCAATTTTTTATTTGACACATTTTATTTATCTTGCTTTTCGTTTTTTTTATCTATTACTATAAAATAGAGTTAAAAAATACAATTTCGTTAAATTTTTTCCTGCTCAATTATTTCGAAAATTACCTTTTGTGGAAACTTTTTTTGAATTTATTTCACAAATCCCGCCTAAAGTTTTTGATTTGATTTTGAATAGGAAAAAACAAAATCAGATTATTATTACACACATTTTTTAGCACTTTTTTTTTTAGGAATAGATTTGGTTAATTTTCCCCTATTTTAACTCCTTCCTTTTATGAAGAGATTTGGTTAATTTTTTTTTTTTTTTTTTTTTTTTTTTTTTTTTTTTTTTTTTTTTTTTTTTTTTTTTTTTTTTTTTTTT